AAAAAAGTAATCGGATTACAGTACTGCCCATCTCTGCTCGGGAGTGCCCTCAGGTATCTGGAACACGGCATTATTGCTTTTTACATTAAATGGTTTGATTTGACCTGATGAAGAGGTTGTAAAGTCCGGTTTATGCTAATGGGTGTCAATACAACCATGCAAATTATTGTTTTAAAATGTAAAAAAAGGAACAGTCCTCAGGCTGGACTAAAACATCTGTGATGAAAAATAACAAGCCAACATTTTCCTTCTGTTAACACCGAGCAAGCTTCGTGTTAACGCTTTCAGCACAGCCAGGATTTCTCTGTTATCTGGATTGACTTACCCTAACACTGCCGATCAGAGGCCTGTACTACGAAGCGGGATTTTGGGTTATCCAGGTCACATCAGGGTTAACCCATGCTGCACACCTAACCTGCTCTGGAGCAGGTTAAGATCCAGATTACAGATCAAAAGTGTCATTCTGGTGGAACCAGCTCCTCAATAAAGGAAGTCTGGATGAGCTCACTGTTTAACCTCTGATCCTATGAGTATTACCCAGCAGGCACTGCAGAGTTCAGATGAAGCCGATTTGTGAGACTCAGCCAGCACTAACTGCGTCTGTTATCCAGGTGGCTACCCTGCCTCCTCTGATAAAATCTGGGAACCCGAGTAGCATTAAAGGTCCGATACCGGCCGCACCAGTGCTCCTGCTCTGCTGTCACAGACACTAGTCTTTTGGCTGAATGAACGCTGGCGCATCTGGCTGCCGCTGCTCACCGATTTATTCTCGTTGTTATTTGTTTTTATTTTGTTTTAAAGTTATTGATGACAACTTGACTGAAGTATTTTAAGCGTATTTAAAGCACAATCCTGTTTTGACTTGCTTTTGCAATATTTGCGGGTTTTTACTGCTCGCACTCCAGCTGCCTGCTCGGTCTTTTACCCTCATGGCCTTTTCCAACTGTCTACATTCAGCGGCAGCCCTGATCAAGATGTGGATCCACAGGGTGTCTGTGTGATCCGTGCTCACCTGGGTTGTTTTTTCCATCGCTCGTCATCCAGCGACAGCGCTACTTCAGTACTCTGAACTTCTGCAACTCCGCTTCCTAACTCTCTACCTGTGGCGCTTTACTTTCTTAATTGCCCCTTGGAGATAAATTAAGCCTTTCTGATTCTGATTTAACTCTATCCAGACATCGCTTTCAAGCCCCGCCACACGTACATTCACCGAGGGCTTCGGCGAAACTTCAATACCAATGACACTAACTCAATAGTGTCCAGTCCATCTGGTCCAAAACTCGTCGTCATCCCCGGAAAACTGACCGGACTGTTGACCACAATGTGCTGGCACACCTTGTTAGGTCGGCTAAGCCTGGCATCGTAATTCCAGCATCAACTTCTGTCTTTTAAACATTCGCTCTTACCGGTAAGGGAAATCTTGTCCAGGATCTCCTCTCTTGGACTTTCTTTGCTTGACTGAAATGTGGAAACAGCCTAATGATTTTGTTTCACTTAATGACTCTACTCCATCTGAGTTTGTTTACATCTGTCAATCTCGCAACTCTGGGAGGGGCGGCGGCCTCGTGATAATTCACCACAAGCACTGGAAAGTTCTCCCTGTCTCTTCCCCACCCTTCCACTCATTTGAATACATCGCAGTACAGCTCCTTGTATATACTCCCACCACCTAAGCCAAATAAGGAATTTTTAAATGACTTTGCTGCTGAAGGCTTTTCAGGGAGTTTTTAGGACATCCTGATAATAATGAATTACAGTCGTCCAGCCTGGAAGTAATAAATGCATGAACTAGTTTTTCAGCGTCACTCTGAGATAGGATATTTCTAACTTTAGAGATGTATGAGGTATACAAGTAAAACACAGAGGTGGTGGTGTGAGCTTTCTTTTCTTTTCTGTCATTATTCACATTGTAATTGGAGTGGTTATTCTGCCGGAGCTGACCGAGGGTGAGCTATGTTGGCAAAAGATAGGGGAAGTAATAATAAAATTTAAAAAAAGAAGAAGAAAAGGAATAGAATGAGAGAGAGAGAAAAAAGGGAGGGCTGATAACCCGATATTAGGTTTAGAGGGCTCTTTTGCAGATAACCCTAGATAAACTTTTTCATTTAATAAAGGAAGTCATAATTTAATAACTGCATTTTGTATTTACTCGGGTCACCTTTGTCTAAATAAAACTGTCCAATCGTAAGTGCTGACCATTGCTGTCTATGTGTCTCTGCAGATGGGAAGCTGAAAACCTGGGTGTATGGAGTAGCAGCAGGAGCATTTGTGCTGCTTGTCTTTATAATCTCCATGACATACTTAGCATGGTAAAGTAACACATCTGAAATATGTTCTGACTTCATCATCAATTTGATTTTTTTCCCTCATGATGTCAATAATGTACATTAAGTGATGTGATGGAGATCACCATGAAAGAAAGTCAAATTAAAATGTAGTTCACTAATTAGCAATTAGTGATTTTGTACTGTGTCTCATAAAGTTTAGGACTAAATGAAATAGAATCCTAAAAAGTCAAAGTGGGACGAGTCACAGGGAGTCAAATCCGTAGCGGGTGAGCATTTTCAGTGTACTGTGAGTGTGCACTGTCATGATGAAGCACCCATCTGCTATTGCAGATTGGATGTTGCAAAAGAATCTGAACATCCTGCAACAATCTTACAACTTTGTTGATTATTTTTGATGTTGGGAATTTCACACATTGGCCAGTTTGGCGACCATAAGGACGAGTCAGTAAGGATTTTTCTTTTTTAAATAATGGCTCTGACATCATGTTCACTGATCAGATAGCAATTTGTTTTTAACAACCAATTGTCTACCTGATCACTGAGCCATACTAAGCTCAAAAGTCAGAGTCCGATCTATTGGTAAATGGTAAATGGCCTGTATTTGTATAGCACTTTACTTAGTCCCTATGGACCCCAAAGCGCTTTACACTACATTCACACACCGTTGACGACAAGCTACATTGTAGCCACAGCTGCCCTGGGGCGCACTGACAGAGGCGAGTCAGTGCGCCTATTAAATCAACGACACGTCAACAGACTTCTTAGATTTCGGTTTTCATGTAGAATGAAGTGTAATGCCTGTCTTCCATCTTGCATTGTCTATTTAAAGGCCATATTATGAAAAAAAAGCATCATCCAATAAAATGACATGGGATCTGACCTCCATCACAACACTGCTCACAATTATTTCTTCATTTGTTTTTGTTTTTCATTTTTCTGTTTCCCTTATCATTTGTTCCTTCTTGTCTTGTCTTGTCCCTTTTTTCTTTCTACCCTCTCACACTCTATTTAGTTGTTGTGGTTGTTGCCTTTGCTGCAAGTCAAGCTCCAAGTCCCCCTCAGACAGGATTTATTGGATGGAGCAAAACAGCTGCACTTATACCTGTCCTGCCTGCCAGAAACTAGAGCAAGAGGAGTTAAAGTGGTGCAACAAACAGCAACCGCAGCTGCAGGAAAAGCAACAGCAATATGAGGCACAGCTCTCAAAGCCTCCATCATCACAACAACATCCAGAGCTACAGCACTCACTGCCACACCCAGCTCCGTTTGAAACTCTTATCACGTAGTCAAGGCCTTACTTAACTCCTTTTATTCTCTACGACATGTGACATGTTCCCAAACATCCAGATTGCTTGTTCAATCATTTCAGTGGATCACCTACTAGAGGTGAGAAAACCAAAAAGCTGCTGATTTGACAGCAAAAAGTTGAAAAGTTGACCTTGTGGTGAAAATATTGAATCATATTTGTACAAGTTTATTAGTTGAATTAAGTCTTGGTTAAACAATTTCAATTCAGTTCACTTCAGTTTTATTAATATAGCAACAATTCAAAACAACACTCGCCTCGAGGTGCTTTATATTGCAAGGTAAAGACCCCAACAATCAGACCATTTGGTATGAGCATGCACTTGACCACAGTGGGAAGGAAAAACTCCCTTTCAATATGAAGAAACCTCTGGAAATGTAGAATTTCAACTTCTCTCATATTGCAGAGCAAATGCAATATCACCGTTTTTGCACATTTTAATGTTTATTTTAAGTTAATATTACCAGGACTGTAACCAAAGTTTAGAAAATAGTGATGTGGTAATGTATCAATGTGTAGCACCTGTGCTCAGTGACCAGTGGAAAACGCTAAACGTTGTCCCAGAGTTATAATAACTCTGAAGCCAATTTTGAAAACTATAAAGGACTTTATTTTGTACAGCTCTCCTCTTTAGCAACAGTGTATAAATGAGGAGGGACAGCTGAAGACTGATGGATAAACTTCCAAAGACAGTGGTGTTGTTTTTAGGGCAGATATGACAGAAACACAGAATCATGTCTCGTATGTAACAGGTTGGTCATGAGTGGAAGTTACTGTCAGGTGGCTGCTATCAGATTGTCTTACTGTTCCTCACCTGTTCTTTGTTTGTTCTGTAGCAAAAAGCCAAAGAAGCCACAGAGACGCCAGATGAACAACAGACTGAAGCCTTTGACTCTGGCTTACGACGGAGATGCAGACATGTAGAAGTCTTCCTGCTCAACGTACAAACATTTGTCTTCTTTCAGAACTTACGGCATCGCCGTGGAAACCCTTTGATATCAGCGCCAATGCTGAGACTCGTTCACATGCAAAAGAAGAACCTCAAAGATCAAGACTGACCACATTCATTAGCAGCCTAGTTTTCCCCATCTGTTTTTAAATGTTCATTTTGGCATTTATTTCACAAGAGCCTTCATGGATTCTTTGTTTCCTGCTGAAAGTCCTGCTTTGCTTCTTTGCCATCTACCACTGCCCAAAATATTCAAACAACAGTCACTGAATAGTGTCTCCGCAGAACAAATACTTCTGTGAAAATCATTCCCTCATTTTTTTCACTGCTCAGTGACATTGCCTTGATATCACTTGTTCTGTGTCAAATGAACATTCGGAGGCCTGAGTGTCATTATGGCTTTGGTGCATCTCACAAGAAACAATATGACGAGGAGACAAAAAGCAGCTTAATAAATCCCAGAGACAGCATCACTTCTGCCTGCCTGTCCCTTCTCCATTTTTCAGGGATAATTTTGCACTATATTAGTGCAGCATGATATGTACTTAGGTCTAGGTATGCCTGTCTCAATACAGATGTTGTAGAAATGTACAGAAGAAGGCTTTTTTGCAAAAACTCACCAATGTTTGTAATTATTTTTCTTCTATTGCCTCTTTTTACATGATTTGATGGGACTTTGTGTAAATAGGATTTTTTTAACGTGGTCTCAACTTTATCTTTCTATTATGTCTAGCTAAATGTTCCAACCTCTGCCAGTTAATCTCTGACATTTTTTTTTACTAATTGTAACAAACTTTTTCATTTCAATTTAATTTATATAGTGCGAAATCACAACATCAAAGCGCTTTATATTATAAGATAAAGACCCTACAATCAAACCAACCCCCTTTGAACAAACACTTGTTGACAGTGGGGAGGAAAAACTCCCTTTTAATAGGAAGAAACCTCTGACAGAACAGGCTCAGGGAGGGGCGGCCAAATTTCAGAACCAGTTGGGGGTTGTGTGATTTTATCTTTGTAAATACGTAACATACATCAAAATCTTCTGTGGAAAATTCAAACATCATGAAAGCCTTTAGATTATTACATGGAAAGAACAAAGAAAAAGTCTAAAAAAAACTAAACATGGAAGATAAGTTCATCATCAAATTGTTTCTTTCATCCCCAAGAACTCTCAGTTGAGTCCATCTAAGAAATATTATATTTAACACCAAATTCTTGACTTTAGCGCTGTTTGTTTGTTTGTTTTATTTTCATTATTGAAAATAATGGCTTTACCAGTGGCTACTAAGTTTGGACCACTTGTTATTTACTTACGATCAGCTACAAGTGTACATCTTTAAGCTTGGTTCTGCACCAGTTATGTGGTGAATTTGGGAATCTCTCAGCCTGGCTTCTTTCTGATATGTAGCTTAAAAATATTATTTATCCTCAAAAATAATTTATTGGAATTTTTTTTCTGTGGTTCTTCTCTTAAAGTCTTCTGTATACCTTTGATTTTTGACTCATTTTGAATTTGACCTCTGCCAGCCGATATTGCCTCTCCAGTGTAATGTTCATTGTCCATCAGTTTATGGAGTCTTCAGCAATGTTGAAAACGAATTGGTCTTTCAGCCCTTGAACTTTCTGTATCAGAGGATGATGTCAGAACCTTTCCAGCTTTTCTATTGTTTTCAAAAACTTTAGGAAGAATAATTGTGTAGAAATGTTTAAAAGTGAAAATGGCTGAAGTAAGCTGAAGGTCCAGTCACTCAGAATGGATAGTGTTGTATTTATTAGTACTGAGACATTGCCCGGAAAATGGCAGTGTAATATTCTGTGGAGTTTGTTGGTAGTAAATCAGTGGAATGTTTAATTTATATTTCTTGGAAAATGATTTGTAAATAAAATTCTTTTTAAAAAAAAAAGAAAAGAAAAGAAACAAACTTGGAAGTGTGAAAGTGGGTGCGCTAAACATGATAAGCTTGTGACAAATAAGTCAAGTTTTCCTACTGTTTGTTTGTATGTATTTGAGTAATTGCTGATAATAAACAATGGAAATATTATTCTAATTCTTTTAATAACATATTAAATCATGCAAATTGCAGTACAGGTATTCACACAAGGTTCAAATAAGTTGGTCTTTGGTTTCAGGCTTTACCTGACAGTCATTACAAATATAAGTCTGTAGATAACTGGAATTAAGTAATGTAGCACACAGAATAACTGAATCATCACTGTTTACTTTTTTCTTTTTCATTATAATTATCAAGAGGGGAAAAAAACCTCACTGTCCCCAACCAGCTTCTCTTCTGGGCAGATGCCAAAGATTTCAGAGTCCATCAGGAGAGACAATCTCTTATGTGTGTCCTAGGTCTGTACCTGCTTTCTCCTGCTTGAACATGCTGGAAACACCTCACCTCAGAGCCGTTCAGGAGGCATTCTAGTCAGACACCATCACCACCACCTAAACTGCTGCTTCCGATGTGGAGGAGTAGTAGCTCGATTCTCAAATCTACTCAAGTTCCTCAACCCATCTCTAAGGGAGTGGTCAGACTCTTGGGAGGAAGCTCTTATCTGCTGCTTGATTTCATTCCTTTTTTTTTTTTAAGAACTATAGCTTGTGGTCATAGGTGCTTTACCACAAAAGATTATCAGCCCTTTTGTGATTCTCAGTCACAAAAGGACTCAGTAGGTCTAAGGTTAGGTGACAGTCAGGAGTCCTTATTATTTTCCAGGCTGAAGTACTTCACTCTTTAAAGCACTGAGATTTTTTTAAAGCACTGACATGTGTTATCCTGCTGCTGAATCCTTCTCTACAAAGTTGGAAACCTGAGGTTGGAGCATGTCGATGAAGGGTGAAGTCTGAGTACTACCATGCCCCCACCACAACAAAAGAAAAGCACCAATTTAATGTATTTGACAAAGACTAACATAAGAGTAACATAATTCAATTCAAATCAGGCAAATGGGAACCATCAAGAGGCCGCTAGGAAAGCTGCAACCACCAAGTACCTGCAGAGGGTCAGGCAAGTCCTGAGAAGTTGGCTGAATGGTAAGAATAAGATCCGGGCCATCAACACCTACACCTGCCCGTGATCAGGTACCCTGCTGGGATAATAAATTGGCCAAAGGAGGAGATGGAAGCCACTGACATCAAGACCAGGAAACTCCTTACCATGCATGGAGGGTTTCAACCCAAGTCCAGCACCCTGAGGCTGTACGCTAAGCGGAAGGAAGGGGGCCGGGGACTGGTGAGTGTCAGCACCACAGTCCAGGATGAGACAACGAACATCCCCGAATACATCAGGAAGAAACTGACAGCGTGCTCAGTAAATACCTCCGGCAGCAGAAACCCAAGAAAGACGAGGAACCATCATGGAAGGACAGGCCCCTGCACGGTATCTACCACCGGCAGATAGAGGAGGTGGCTGATATCCAGAAATCCTACCAGTGGCTGGACAAAGCTGGACTGAAAGACAGCACAGAGGCACTAATCATGG